GAAAGAATTCCAGTCGGCAAATTTAAATTTTCGCCAGAGCTGTGGTGCTTCAATCTTAGGCTATGTCTTGGGCTACTCAAATATTTTACGTTTTTGATACTAAATTAACATCTGAAGTATAATTTTTTATTATTTTTATATTTTTCAATATATTTATTTTGTTTGTACAAAATAAAAAAATAATTTTTAACGATACAATAGTCTTTGTTAGGCTTAACATCGACGAAAATTCAACGCAAAGCGACACACAACGGAGAAAAATTTCGACATCGGATATGTTAAACTATTTTTTCGTACGTAAATCAGTTATCCGAAATATCAGTTATCCGGACAACCCCAGTCTCCAATTGATTCGGAAAATCGACGCTCTACTGTATTTAAAAAAACAATTTATTTACCCAATTGGACCAGCAGCAAGGACTAATCTTTCAAAATCTAAGCCACTCATAAGTACATAAACACCTTTGTTTTCTTCTCCAACTAAGTTTTCAGCTTTAAAAAAAAAATTATAATTTTGTTTCCAGGTTTTTCTTATATGTGGGGTTAATAAAACCTATAGTAATATATTTAAGGCAAATTTAAACACATAATAACATGAAATTTTTATAATAAAGTTTGAAATGAGATCATGATCTTTTATAAGACTTCATAATTTTCTGTTTAAACTTAAATGCTATAAAATAAATACAACATGAACAAGATTCAATGTTAAATCAACTTTGCACATTTACCTGATGTAACAATTAAGTACAAAAATCACTTGAGTTTCTTTTTTTTCAGTACAATAGATAAAATTAATTCATTATTACATTTTCTTAAATTATACTAAGGTATAATCAATAGATTTTGGACAATTTCAGCAATAATATAATTCATTACTTTTTAAAATTTGTACAAGTACTTTTCAATCTGTTATCTCTTGTTTTACCACCAGCTGCATTCTTAAAAAATGGCTTCTAAACTGAACAAATTAAAATAAAAAAATGTTTACATAATATCTACATTTTACAGTTTAAATTTTAACAAGTTTTAACATCATAATTAAATATGCTAAAATTCTTAAAATATTTTGCAAATGACCAACCACTTTTAGTAAGAATGACTACAACTAGTTTATTATTATCAAAAAATTTANTTTCTTTAAAAATTACTGTAATAAAATTCAAAACATATAAAAACTCCACAAGTTCAAACTTTATATCGTAAATAAATATTTAATTTTGTGTATAATAAAATTCAACTTAATCATGCATAAATGAAATAATCAGAAAAAGCTTTTCTAATTGGAAATCTAAAAATGCTCCCAAGATTTATAAACTGCCAGATTCATAACAACAAAATTAAAGAACTGAGTTTATATAATGAAAGTTTTAAATATATCGATTTATCATAATTGAACTACTCATATTCAGCAATAAAGAGATATTTAGCAATCCAGCTGCAACCAATTTGGTATGGGACACTTCAAAACATGCAGAAGACACTTCTATAAAAAAAAATTAATAACAAAAGTGACCACAATATTTTCAGTACTGCAAGCAAAAAAAAAGCAGTTTCTTTTGCAAAAGTATTCAATTTATATGTTGCACCAAGTTCTGGGTATAAAAGTCATCACAACTGTTGAATCATTTTTTATCAGCTATGATGTCTATCTTGCTATCTTCTCTTGCAGGAACATATATTTCTTGTGAATCTTCTTTATGGAAAACAGCAAGGCTGAAGTTATATTTTGGAAATTATGATGTTGTGAGAATCTATTCCAATGACCCATTGACTCCATAAGTTCTCAAAATAACAATCACTTGATTTGAGGAAAACTAAATATTTGGGAATTCACTCTGTCCAAGAGCACAAACCTATCACTTCACAAGTCATTGAAACTGTTGTTGAATATTCAATGAAAAATGTTACGAACTCAGTAGTGCACATCATGATAGTTGGGTGCATCCTATTGCAAAATGTGTGGAAGTTACTGAGAAAGTTGTTGCATTGTTATCCATATAAGATCAACCACAACCAGATGAATTCAACGGTTAATTGGACATTGCTGTTGACATTAATATGCATATTAGTATAATATAAGTATATCAAACATTTTGAAGCCTGATAAATATATATATATATATATATAGTATATATACATAAATAACCAAACAATCACCTTAAATAATAGGGTCATAAATCTGCTATTTTAATGATTAATACTAAATAATTTGCTACTAAAGGCAGAAGTTAGGCACCATGTCTTATCTAAATTAGTAATTATAATTTTAATAATTTATTAAATAATTTAAAATCATCTGGAAGAAAAAATGATTCTAAATTAACATAAATTTTCAGTTTGTAAAAATTTCTTATATAGTGTCAAATAAACTTTAATCTGATGACAACATTTCTTATTTAATGGAATTTATTACAAGAACAATTTTTATATAAATATAGAATTTAATAATTAAAAGAGTTTGTCCTTGTACTACATAAATTATAATTCTATCAGTCATAATTTAATCTAAGTAAAATATTTAAGTAATGAAGTTAATAAATACAGTTGTCCCTCTATAGTCCGACGTTTTTTAATCCGACATGCTCAGTAGTGCGATGCACCTCCCGTCAAGGTACCCGTCCCCGTTACGTCTGCTTGCACAGAAGCATGTCGCGATGTGAATCTCCCCATCCAATTTTTACACGATGACACACATTTCGTGTGTTTTATGTGAGCAGTTCTGTTCGAACAGTTGGAGTAGAGAATATTGTAAGTTACTGCTAGCAAAACAATGCGCAATATGTAATTATTTTCGGTAATCCGGACACTTTTGGTAATCTGACATACCTTTGGTCCCATACCTGTCAGATTATCAAGGGACAACTGTAATACAATTCTGTTTATTGACAAATGGAATTTGTCAGTAAACAGAAGTGACAAATTCCAAACACATACAACAACCTGATAATAAACCCAAAAGTTAGTTTATTATTTCTTTAAAAATTTACATATACAGTAGAGCGTCGATTTTCCGAAAGTCAATCATTCAAAAGAATTCCAGTCAGCAAATTTAAATTTTCGCCAGTGCTGTGGCGCTTCAATCTTTGGCTATGTCTTGGGCTACTCAAATATTTTACGTTTTTGATACTAAATTAACATCTGAAGTATAATTTTTTATTATTTTTATATTTTTCAATATATTTATTTTGTTTGTACAAAATAAAAAAATAATTTTTAACGATACAATAGTCTTTGTTAGGCTTAACATCGACGAAAATTCAACGCAAAGCGACACACAACGGAGAAAAATTTCGACATCGGATATGTTAAACTATTTTTTCGTACGTAAATCAGTTATCCGAAATATCAGTTATCCGGACAACCCCAGTCTCCAATTGATTCGGAAAATCGACGCTCTACTGTATTTAAAAAAACAATTTATTTACCCAATTGGACCAGCAGCAAGGACTAATCTTTCAAAATCTAAGCCACTCATAAGTACATAAACACCTTTGTTTTCTTCTCCAACTAAGTTTTCAGCTTTAAAAAAAAAATTATAATTTTGTTTCCAGGTTTTTCTTATATGTGGGGTTAATAAAACCTATAGTAATATATTTAAGGCAAATTTAAACACATAATAACATGAAATTTTTATAATAAAGTTTGAAATGAGATCATGATCTTTTATAAGACTTCATAATTTTCTGTTTAAACTTAAATGCTATAAAATAAATACAACATGAACAAGATTCAATGTTAAATCAACTTTGCACATTTACCTGATGTAACAATTAAGTACAAAAATCACTTGAGTTTCTTTTTTTTCAGTACAATAGATAAAATTAATTCATTATTACATTTTCTTAAATTATACTAAGGTATAATCAATAGATTTTGGACAATTTCAGCAATAATATAATTCATTACTTTTTAAAATTTGTACAAGTACTTTTCAATCTGTTATCTCTTGTTTTACCACCAGCTGCATTCTTAAAAAATGGCTTCTAAACTGAACAAATTAAAATAAAAAAATGTTTACATAATATCTACATTTTACAGTTTAAATTTTAACAAGTTTTAACATCATAATTAAATATGCTAAAATTCTTAAAATATTTTGCAAATGACCAACCACTTTTAGTAAGAATGACTACAACTAGTTTATTATTATCAAAAAATTTAAGAATATGTTAAAATTTTTTAAAAAGTATAAACTATATAATATAAATTCTAATCCATTAAATTTAGAAGACAGTTTTAAAATAATAATGATGATAAACCACATTTGCTGAAGCACATGACTGTTGCTGCTACATAAAATTTAATTACTTCTATAATTTAGTTATTTTTTAAATATGGAATTATTATTTCAAGGTTTGAAAAATTTTTATCACAATCAAAAATTACTTAATATTCAGAATGACATTATGATATTTTTCAATGTCCTTTGATGACAACAATTCTTTTTCATTGTTCCATTATTATCTTGATGTCTTGATTTTTATGTTGTGTAAGTAAAATAAATGGAAAAACTAAATAAAATAACATTAATATAATACAAAACTTTAAAAAAAATAAACAGGTTTTTACATTTTATATTAAAAAGTTTCTTTGAGTTTATATATAAAGAATATAACACACAATTCAAAAATTCAACTAAGCAGTACATTTTACTTTTTATATTAAAATTTATAAAAGATAAAAAATTATCCTAATAAATTAAAAACTCTTAAATAAATGATGAGTCAATTTAACTAAAGTATGAAAAATATCAATATTAGTGAGCTTAAAATGGGATTAAGAATGAATATTGCAGTGATTTATTAGAAGTGAAATAATTCAAATTCTCAAGAAAGATATATCATTTCTATCTAGACATCAACAACACTTCAACACCGGGGATGTAACTCAACACCTTGTCTGGAACCTGTTACCAGTGCGTTCTGTAAATAATAAAGTTTATCACTAACATTTTCGAACTGTTGATTAGTTCTTCTTCAGGTGAAATATACCAAATAACTAATGGAACACAAAAATGGAATTCAAATTAAATCGAACATATGCCTGATGAAAGGTAATGACTTCCATCAAGCATATGTTTAATTTAATTTGAATATTCACGTTCTAATTTTGTGTTCCATTAGTTATTTGGTATATTTCACCTGAAGAAGAACTAATCAACAGTTCGAAAATGTTAGTGATAAACTTTATTATTCACAGAACGCATTGGTAACAGGTTCCAGACAAGGTGTTGAATATTTATCTAGTCTTAAAATCAAGCTGACTCAAGTCCAATCTCCAGTGATCATTAACTCTGACAGTTTTAATGTAATCTTCTTGATCACAATATTTTACTTATTTTGAAAGTCGGTTCTTAATAAATAGATGTGCTGAAATATATAGAAATTTTTTTTTATTTGTTTAAAATTATTGTATCATAAAATTTTTAATTCTGACATTTGTATCAAATTCTGTTTTGTATTTATTTATTTATCAGAAATACATTTTATCTGTAATGTTCTTTTGTATGATTTCTGTTGTCTATTCACTTTTATTATTAACAATTGAAGTTCAATTTCTTTTAAATTCAATTTGATTAGTTAGTTATAAATTTAATTTCTTCCAATCAATTCATTTATATTCATAAACATAAATTTGTATGAATATTCACACAAATCAAAAATTGTTCAATTCTTAAGAATAAAGATGTAATTACAGTAACAGTAAGTAATAATACAAATGAATTTTCTTCTAAAAATACTATTGTTTACAATAAAATGTCGATTTTCATATTTTTAGGGAATTAACTCATTCAGAATGAAGAACAAATAGTTTTGTTGAACAGTATTATCTGAGCTTAATCAGAAATTTATAGTTAATTTTCAAATAATACTATCATAATATTAAAGTTTGTTTAAATTAACTTACATTTAAATTTGTTCTTGTGTCAAAAAATTTTACAGACATGCTTATTTGTAAAAGACATTTTTGTTTATAGTAATTTAGCATTTTATGAAATGTTTTGTTTTTTTTCAAATGTTAACTTGTATATTGTAAGTTACGTTATGTATTTTTATGTATTGGGTAATAAATATTTTCAAAATTGTTAAATTTTAAATTAACAAATTTATAAAATATAGTTGTTGAAAAATAACTTGTATGCATAGTTTATTTATTTATATTTCTTGCATTTTTATTTTATAAATTTGTACTTATTACTTACTAATTGTTTAAAATATTTGAGTAAAGAAATGGAATTATGAAATTTTTGTATAGGTTTTAGATTACTAAATACTGAAATATTGTAGTTGTAAAGTTTAAAAGAAAATAAAAAGAGTGATTATCACATTTTCCCTCTGGTTATATTCTCATTGTAATTTATTACAATGAATAAATTTGTGAATAATATTTTCAGTTACAGGTAGAAATAAATTTAACTATATTAAAATGTGTAAAGTTGAATGTAGAATTTCTAGAATTTAAAATTCTTTTAACAATAAAAGAAATTCTTTCATATTTAAATACATTTGTAGAAGTCTGATGAAAAATTTTAAATCCTCAAAATGCACCAAATACATTGTACAAATATATGTATATCATTTTTTATGAAAGATATATTAGCTTGATGAGGAAGAAACTTCCAATTCTAGCAACTTAAAAAAGAAAAAGTAATTATTATATATATGAAAATTTACAGTAACTATAAATATTAACAAATCATAAAGCTATAAATGCAAACTATTTTCATTAAACACTATCATTTTTAGAATAAAATTTTGCTATAATATTTGTATTTAAAACAATTAATTTTTTAAAACTTCAGGAATAAAAATAAAGCGAACGATATGCCTTTAACATATCAGTTTAGGAAAATATGAACATTTTCAACCCAATTACTGGGTCATCTTCAGGTATAGTATAGTAGAATCAAAAGAGACATTCCTCTTTTCTATTTTATAGCTAAGTATTTGGCTATTAGTTTAGGACTTATCACATCACAGTTTTTAAGAAACTTGACCTGGACTTTTTTCTTATTTTTTATTAAATTCCAATGCCAATATATATATATTTCAGGTTTTCCCTCTCTTCAGTTGGAATACCCAAGTTTCTTAAAAACTGTAGAATGATAAGTCCTAAACTAATAATCAAATATGTAGCTATAAAAGACAAAAGAAGAAAAACAAGGTCAATAAGCTATTATAATAAATAATAAAAAGACATTCCTCTTCTGTCCTATGTTTGAAGATGACCCCTTAATTGGACTGAAGATGTTTTCATTTTCCAAACCCACTGTTAAAGGTAGACTCATAAATAACAATAAAAATAAATTTGAATAACAGTTATTAATGAAGATGGAAACTGATTATAAGTATGAAAGGAAAACAACTTTTAATGCAGCAAAAATTGTTTCAGATGTCATTATAAAGATTCCAATATACCAAATTTATTACTACAGACTGATGAACTAGGCAAAAAAGACATCTTATAATTTGAAAACTAATGAATATGATGATTGAAATTCTTAAAATAAATGATTACCAGGTACTTTACAATCTTCAAAAATAAGTTCTGCAGTTGGAGAACCACGCATTCCAAGTTTATCCAACTTCTGTCCTATACTGAATCCAGGCATATCCTAATTTCAAAAGAGCAAACTTTATATTCAAATAAAAATAAATTTCTTCTTACATTAATGTTATTTTGTACTTTCGTACTTTTTCAATAAGAAAAGCACTAATTCCATGTTGGGGCTGGCCATCTTGTTTAGTTCTAGCATAAACAAATACTACATCAGCTTCTGATCCATTTGTTATCCAGAATTTAGTTCCATTTAACACATAGTAATCTCCTAAAAAAAAGTTGAATCATTGTCTTCTTGGAAGCATAAAAATATAAAAAAAAACTGAATATCATAATTATACAGTAAAATTCTGAAATTTAAATATACTGTATATATAGTCTTCATACAGCATTATACTTCAATACCTAATAATGTTCAAACATTGAAGTTATGTAGTAAATAATATTTGTGTGTCTAAGTTTTGAAGTTTTTTAACAAAATTTTATCAATACAGAACTATTTTATTCTGCTTATACATTGTGTTAGAGACCCAAATGGTGCCAGTTGAAGAGAAAGTAAACTATATGCTTTGGCTTTCAGAATTACAGTTGTTGATAATTGTTAGAAGAAAATGTTATTTTTTATGATAAACTTGCCATAATGAATAACATACTTTCTTCTAGAAGCTGTTATTGACTTAAGTTGTGCAAGACAGAATACATAGTTTACTTTCTCTTTAATTGGCACCATCTAGGTCTCTGACAAGATCTATATAAAACTAATTTATTTTATTTTATTTATTGATAAAATTAATGTAAAAAAACTTTAAAAGTTAGGATCTCAAATATTTATTATTATGCATAGTTTTGACATTATACAACTTTAGTTAATGAAGTATAAAATGGTTCAACCACTCTGTGTATTAAATATATTAATCTAATACTGACAATAGAATTTTATACTCTAATTTTATCACTAAAGTAGTAATCTATCACAATAATTCTATATTATTAAAGTAACAGAGATCAAGTACCTTTCTTCTCTGCTTTGGTTTTCATCGAAACAACATCAGAACCAGATTCAGGCTCACTCATTGCCAATGCACCAACATATTCTCCACTAATTAACTAAAATAAATAAGTTATGTCAGGAACAAATTAATAATTAGAAATAATGAATTAAATTTCACAACTGTTATAATTAAATTGCACATCTATGTTAAGTAATGACAACTATTAAAACTATGCAAAAACTTTCTGTTCAACACAATATAACCTTTACTTATTAATCATGACATTCAAGAAGTGTGTAGAAGCAATGAAGTCTAAGAGGAAAGTTGTAATATTGATAACTAAGACAAAAAAAGGAACTTATTTTGCAATGCATGAAAATGGTACATGTGTGGCAGATCTGGCAGCCAAGTTTACAATGCTGAAGTTGACATTATGTGAGCAATAAATGCAAATTTATTTTCATTAAAGAGTATTTATATATTTTATTTATTGTTTTAATTTATTATTAGAGCATTTTATTATGTTATTTTTACCTTAAATTATGTATATTTGCTGTTTTAAGTTTATTGAAATGGGTATTGTTTAAGGTCTGAAAATGGATTAATTTATTTTCCATTATTTCTAATGGAAAAAAATTGATTCGGAGTTCAAATGATTCAGTGTTCAAACATTCTCCTGCATTGAATTAAATTCAAAGTACAAGGCACAACTGTACATCTATATAAAAATAACTGTAAAAGCTGTACAAATAATATCATTAAAAGCTGTACAGTATATATATATACAGTAGATAAGTAGATACTAACCTTAGGTAGATATTTCTCCTTTTGTTTCTCATTTCCATTTCTAGCAATTTGATTTATACAAAGATTTGAATGTGCTCCATAGCTAAGAGCAATAGCAGCTGATACTCTGGACATTTCTTCTAAGACAATGCAATGTTCCAAATAGCCACTCTGAAGTCCTCCATATTTTTCTTATAAAATTTATAATTAAATTATATATCTACATACCTTTATATTTATTTTATTGTAATATACAGTATTTTTTAAAACTAATATTCTTGATTAACCTATTTATCTACTAAAGACAAAAATTTATATTAAAAAGGAAAGAAATTTCTTTTAATATAATAATTACATAATTACAGTCAAACCGTGGTTTTTGAACCACTCATTTTTTGAACAAATTGCTTCACAAACAGAATTTTGAACTCTTAATTGTCCTGCTGGCCGTACAATAACCTGGTTGCTGAACAAGCTACTCAGCAAGAGCCAAACACAGATTAGAGAGACAGATGGCCAATTCCCTAGACCTCATTATTTATGTTAAAGAAAGTTAATGGTCTGACCAATCAATGATAGGACTACTGATTCAAAGATTAGTGGTTACTGAGATTGCCTTGCGTCATTAGACATTACAACATGAATCATCAATGACGTTGCTATTTGACTTAAATTTTAATGCATATGTGGAAAAGATACTACTTCCATTTTTGGTACATGCTACAGTTGAATTTAAATCAAATTAATTAATAAAAACAGTGTTAACTGACATTCACTTAATATAAATGGCATCCAAGAATACATCTTTAAAGATGCTTAAAGTCAAATCAAATAAAAATTTATTATATATAACAGAGAATTACATTATATATAATATTACATTGCATTTGTAAACATTTTTATGCATGAAATACAGCTAAAAAGATTTAAGAAAAAGTCCTATTTTGAGGGTTAGGAACAGATTAATCCATTTCATATTGTTTCTTATGGGAAAATTTGTTTCAGTTTTAGAACAACTTTTAGGAACAAATTATATTCAAAAACCAAAATTTGACTGTATTTAAGATTTTCTTTTTGTATAATCAAGATAATTATGTGTCATGCTGTTTGTTATAATAATAAAATTTTTAAAAAATACAATAATATAAAAAATCTGCTTTATTGAAATTCATTTTAATAACAGTTTTTCTAAAGCATTTTCGGACAGTCAAGCATGTCAAAAAATACACAAGTAAATTTGCCATGCTGATTCACTTGTGTGTGTATTGATGATAGGCTTGGTTGTTCAAAAGTGCATGAGAAAAACTGTTATTAAAGAGAACTCCAATAAAACAAATATTTATTGTTGTTATATATTTTTTTTAAAGAACTTTAAATTATTTCACATTATTTAGTAATTTCATTGGTTTTTACAAATAATATATCAGAAATGTTGTTGAAAAGAAATATTCTGTTTAATAACAGCTTTGGTCTTTGAAAGAATTCAAGTTATTGTGAAAAGTGAAACAATATTTCTTAACAAAGATAATTGCTTCACTTTTCACAATAACTTGAATTCTTTGAAAGACCAAAGCTGTTATTGAACAGAATATTTCTTTCATCAAAATTTTAAATATGTTAGTGAAGTTGCGATCGAAGTTTTCAATGCGAAAACATGAATGTCGGATGTTCAGTGCTGCCTTCCTGTAAGCCTAGAAATTTGACAATGGTGTTTGGAACGTCAGTGGAATCATGCTCGATATTCCAAATACCGTTGTCAAACTTCTATACTTACAAAATGGTGGTGCTGAACATCCAATATTCATGTTTTACATTGAAAACTTTGACTGTAACCTCGCCCTTATATGGAAAAACCAATAAAATTAATAATGATAAGCAAAGTTATCATTGTTTGACTTTATTCATTGACAATGAAAGATATGTCTTTCAACAATTTTTTTAATCTTTAAATTCCTAATATAAGGTTACAAATTCCACTACAAAATTGGATAAATTTGTCTCGGAAGCTGAAATGATTCAGAAAACTAAAAAAAGATGTGAACTCTTCTCAGTCAAAATCAAATATAGTTATATGACTAATTTTTTTTTTCCATTTATTTAAACAGATAAATTCTGGTATATAAACAACATACTTTATTACTTGTTAATTAATAAAATATCAGATTTTCATTTATTATATAAATAGGTACTTTTAACATTGTGCTTATATTTTGAAGAATGCCATTCAATCATGAAGTAATCAATTTGTTGAACCATTCATGTTAAAATATATAATTAAGTTTAAAATACAGTAGAGCATCAATTATCCGAATCAATTGGGGACTGGGGTTGTTTGGAAGATCGATGTTTCGGATAACCGATTATGTACGAAAAAATATATTAATTTATCCCATCTTGACATTTTCTCCGTTGCGTGTCGCTTCGCGTTGAATTTTCGTCTATGTTAAGCCTAACGAAGACAAATGTATCGTTAAAAATTATTTTTTTATTTTGTACAAACAAAATAAATATATTTAAAAATATAAAAACAATAAAAAATTATACTTCAGAAGTTAATTTAGTATCAAAAACGTAAAATATTTGAGTAGCCCAAGACATAGCCAAAGATTGCAGTGCCACAGCACTGGCGAAAATTTAAATTTGCTGACTGGAATTCTTTCTGATGATTGACTTTCGGATAATCGACGCTCTACTGTATTTTCAAAAGAGTAAGTCAATCAATTTCACTGATAAAAATTAATATTGAAATACCTGGTACTGTAATACCCATAAATCCCATATCACCAAGTTTTTTCCAGAATCCCTGCAAATTAAAAAAGATTTAAAATTTTAATTATTAAATACTAAATGATAAAAAATACCAAATTTTTAGCTTTTGTTCATCATTGTAATTATTATTTTTGATCATTTTATAATTAAATGATCAAAAATATAATTAAAAAAATTATAATTAATTATATTGTTTACTTATATTTCAATTATTTTTAATATTGTTATTTATAGAATTAATTATAACCTATCAAATATGTATCTTCTAAAGCGATATAAAAATAATTTATTGGTATAGTAATGTAAAATAATGATTTTAATAATCAAAAATAAATAATAATTAATACTTGAAAACAATTAATCAACCATGTTTTCATTATTAAGCATATAAAGCTTATTAAGCATATTATATTAAGCATTATATAAAATTTATCTAAAATTTTATATAATTAATTAACTTCAGTATCTCAATAACAATACAATTTATCAAAAATGAAAACAGGAAAATGAATGCTGCAACTCAATAGGATAATACATCTATAATCAGTGGAAAATTCTTTAATTCTTTCCTATTGATTTTATCAGCGGCTTAATATGAATGCTGCAAATGTTTAAAATTTTGTTTTTCTATTATTTCAAAATAATATTTACAAGATAAAAAATTTTTCATAATAAAAGTATAACTGTAGAAATAATACCCAAAAATTTCAATGATCTAAAAAACGTCACTAACTTTCAAACAACTAAAATTTTTAGACTTATGAAAATTAGAAAAATTATATTACAACACAATATTAAAATTTGTTCATTGCAACAGTTAAAATATATTTTTTAAAATGTAAACTGTATTATTATTTCACAATTCTCCTCAAACTAGAACAGCATATAGGAAATTACAAAAAAAAATATTTTTACAAGACCAAAATGCTAACAAATACTCAAATAATCATTCTATTTTAGTGCAATAAAATGATTTTTGAGAGTTTATAGCTCATCTTTAGATTTACAAACAAAGCAAGTTTTGAAGATCAAAACTGTACTATCAAATACATGTTTTAAATTCAAACTGCATCAATGTAATACATGTTAACTAGATAACATAAACCTTCATTCCCATTGACGAGATAACTCGTCAAGTTTACACAGCATTACGAAAAACTCGGTCCTTAAGGCCATTTTTGAAAATGTTTTTTTTTTTTTTTTTTGCAATTTTTGGATGTTTTTTAGGCCTCCAAATTTTTGCAAAAATTTTTACCCGCACGAAAAAATTTTATTGCGATTTTAATATACCTTTAATGACGCACAATTCACACTTAATTGCTTTTTAATTATTTTTAATGGGACTTTTTTATCAAATTTAATTTGTCGTTCTAAAGTTGTAGTGCACGGATTTTCTTTTGGTAAAGTTATTTAAAGCTATTTATAATTTATTTTGTATACTAGTACTTTCTATATATTAACAGGACTTATTATACTGGAAAATTATGGATGCAGATATTTAGTCATACAGTTCAAAAATAATGCAGGTGAACTACATAAAGAACATTATTTTTGAACTGTATGACTAAATATCTGCATCCATAATTTTCCAGTATAATAAGTCCTGTTAATATATAGAAAGTACTAGTATACAAAATAAATTATAAATAGTTAAAAAGGACAAAAAGGCATAATAATTATTTAAAGCTAGTTTCTTATATCAAAAACGACCTTCAATAGTTTTTTAATTTTTTTAATTAATATATTTTATTATATATAAGTTTAATTAAGTTGGGGGGTCTGAAATTGCAGTAAAAATTTTAATTTTTTAAAAATATTTAAAAATATACCGCCAGCTAGTATTCACCCTACTTTAAACCCTTGTCCTCACGAGATGTCCCGGAAAATCCAACACCAGATGTTCTCAAGGTCATCCAGCTGTGTAAACAATGACTCATCAGTGTTAAATTTCGCAGAAAGGCGAGACAATGGAAAATAAAGTTTGAAGCTTTTTCTTCAAAATTAAAGCATTTCTTTCGTTTAAAATACTTTTAAGTATTTTTTATGTTTAATTACATTAATATCAAAAATTGATCGGAGATCAAGGGGTTAATAAAACACCTATATGTAATAAAATTACCATGCACTTAAATAACCACAGCATGAAAGAAACCTTAAAATTCAGTGATATTTTTAAATTTTGAATGTTTTTGGTCATTTTTATCAACCTTCTTCAGGATAAAAAATGGTGATCAAATGATGGTTTTCATTTGACATGAACAGAACATAAATATATTTCAAATGTAATTTAAATATTTATTCTAGAACTAAAAAGAAATTCAAAATGTGAGAATACTGGACTTTAAATAATACAATGAAAAAAATATGCAACAATTACCAAGCACTTACCAGTACATTTAATTAATTTACAATACTATTAAAAAAAAGTAAACTAAAAACAACTATATTCCATAATAGTTAAGGGGATGTCTATAAATTACGTCAACATTTTCTTTGAAAATTTTACTTTCCCTCTTGTGCTAGTTTCTCGAAGTTTCTGTAACTCCCTCCTCCTTGGACATCCAACAAAACTTGACCCTCTTTAAACCTTTATCACTTTATGAATGAAGTAGAAACAAAAGTGAAGTTGTTTCTACTTCATTCATAAAGTGACAAGACTTTTTGAAATAAATATAATTAAATGCATAAACTGTATAAAATTTAATGAAATAAACTGATGTCCACTGAAGCTCAACTCCTCTCCTACCCTTTGTCTGACCTGTCTTAATCCCTTCCCTTTCTTTCCGTGTGGATGTCATTTATGGAAGCCCCTAAGATTAAACAACACTGAAATACGTACACTGAACCAATATAATGTGTGGTACGAACGACGAAACAAAAAAAACAAACGTTTTCGAACCTCTTCTAGGTTCTTCCTCAGGTTCCTTTAGCTTTTTAGCTCGTAAATTCGATATTTCAAATAACTTCGTTCTTGCGATCGAACAGTTCTTTTTTAAAAGATGTGTCGCGCATGCCGTTCAAACTAACGACTGCCGTCAACGAAAGACATTAACGAATGTTGTTTAAATAATTTCTTTCTTAAGATCGAACATTTCTTTTAAATTATCCGTCACGCATGCGTGACATGTCCGCTTGCTCGGAAATAACGAGCAGTTAAAGTGTGTTATGTATCAACTCTTGCCAGGCCATTGACAAGATCATCTCCTCTTTAAAATTTATGCACGTGGTTTCGATAGAGGATTTAAAGATGTGCATCGCCTCTAACCACTTGAGATGTTCATTGGGAGGCGCACCGAGGAGGAGATTGGTCCTATTAAAGTCAGCAACTATGCCCGGGTCTGTTGCGTATGTAGCGAGGGCCGTGCTGGTTCTCCCGTGACGAATGTCTGCCTTATGCTCCTGTATTCTGACACCTATGGATCTTTTAGTAGAGCCTATATATATTAAGTCCCTGTCGAATCTGTTATCTCTCAAAGGGACACTATAGACCCCCGGTCTTCTGCTGGGGTTAGGAGGGTCCTTCCCATTCCTTAGGATGTTAAAAATAGTAGGGCACCTCCTGTAAGCAATACTGATTTGGCGCTTCTTGGCGATCTTGTCATATATAGATCTTACATATGGGTT